CGAATCGCTGACGACTGCATATGGGTCTCTCTCTAGAAGTCGCCCGACGCCGCGCTAGCACACTTCAAGCGATGTTGGATTTCAGCGTCAATGGTTGCATTCGCTGACAGATGGCTTCTAAGATATAGGTGGTGTTCTATATTCTGCAAAGAATGGTCATTTATAGTTATATTCGGGGCTTGGGGAATAGTGCCCGGACCCGGTGCGGGTTGGTGCAGAATCCTGTTATATTTGATCTCTAGGCCGATTCTCCTGTAAGCCTGGTTGAATGCATTGATAATTGGCTGAAGATCTTCCTTTGTATTGTATCGTATTATCACGATGTTATCATCCGCATAATGAAGTTTAATAATCGATGTTCTCGATACTTTCGTCTTGGCTCGTAATCTTAGGTTGAATAAGCCGCCATCAAGTCTGTCCAGGAATTCCACTCCTGACGGCAGGTGACCCTCGATAAGGTGTAGTATGAATCCTTTAATCAGTGAAAATAAAGTGGGTGCAATACAGCCCGGTTCATCACCTGTAGTTATTTGAAAAGACTCTCCTGGTCCATCGTTGCTTAGGACCGTTGCATTCATATTATCATGCAGCAGGCGGAGTATCTGGATGTACTTTTGCGGACACACAACCTTTGCAAATATCTTTCAAAGAGCTTCTCTGTTGACCGAATCACTACTAATCTATGTCTCTGCATTTGTCTTGCACTGAAAATCATTTTAGCTGTACCTCGGTCGGGTCTAAAGCCACACTGGGTCTCTGGGAGGTTCTACTCGTCAATGATGAAGTAACATTGTCATAGCACTGGACCAGACACTATTTTTTTCTTGCTCGTACCTAAAAGGTAACTTCACGCGCGTATCTCCCACCATGCAATTATGTCTTGGTTGGTCAAAAAAACTCATGCTAACGGCAGTGCTCTAAGGTGGCTTAAAAAAAATAGTATTTTTCGTAACCATGGCACATAATGCCTATCTGTGCACGCAGTTTCATTTCTTTAATCGAAAAAAAAAAAAACTATAGGTCTTATGTGAGCTTCACATGGGCGCCCCTGCCAGATAATTGTACCTTACAAGTAGCAAACAAACCACCTAATTGAAACACACAAAAAGTTTGTATAGGTAGGTATATACCTATACTTACTTTATTACATACCTACATAGGTACATACTATATTTTCTCATATGAATATTATCAATTAATTTAGGCAGTTTTCTTTTGGCATATAATTTTTTCATGGATAGTAAGTACCCTCTTTATTCTTTATAAATATTCAAGTTAAACCTTGTTGCATTCCGAATCAATCTTGAACCACTCAGAAGTGATTAACGCGGATAAAAATTTAAGGAAATTTAAATGCATACCAAAAAGAAGCTTTCAGCGAGTCGGGCTCGGTACCATCAATTTAAGAAAAAGTGGCGGCCCGGTAATTACTCTAATGAATAATATATAGAGTCATTCTGTATCGCTCTGATGGCGGTTTTAGCCTTAATTTCCATGAAAGTCGCGCTTGTATGCCGAACACGTCTAGCGCATGTAAAAAGGGATGCCAACATAAACACCTGAAATACCCCAATATCGTTAACAAATGGCCGTACACGTTTAAAGGTGGGTATAATAGCGACGAGTCAACAATTATTCTGTGACGTAAGCCATTAATTATAACCTAACCTGTGGTTAGGACTTAACAAGCTGTCACTAGTAGATTGTTAGCGCGTTATTTATGAGAATTTAAACGCGGACGATGTGAAGTGGAGTGGAGTGCTCCGGCCAAAGAAAAGAGAAAGATATGATAAAGAGAAAGAAGAAACACCGTAAGAGGTGTAGTATTGTTTTAATTAATTTCTTTTAAGCGAGTATATGGGCATTTTTCGAATGCTTTCTGCAGATGTTTACAAAATCTGAGTCCGATTAGATGTTATTACTTAATTAGTTTGGTGTTCCTCGGAATCGTTGGATACTATGCGGAGAACTTGAATAAATGTAGCGGCGGTTTTATTGTCACATATAAATGCCTGATAGAAAATTCAATAACAATTGAGGTGAGAAAATTTATCGACAGGCTTTGAGATTGGAATTGGAATATAAAATCGAATACTCACAACTGACGCAAAAAGATAGAATTTATGATTTATGGTACTTTACCATCCCACATTTAAAACAAAGAAAATTGTTTCGATGTTTTTTTCAGCGATTTTTTTGTCGTTGGATTATTGTATATCAATCATGAAAATTGGCGCCGTAGACCAATCATATCGATAGTAAAACGTGCCTGAATGGCGTCTATATAATATAGAAAATAAAGAGATATATATTTTATCGCACGGAACCGATACAAAGCAAAATTATTATTGTTTAGATTACCTTCATTGAAATTACTTAAATGAACCATTAATTTTTGCTGGCATTGGCATAATTTTCACAAGAAAACAAACAATTTGTATGTGGGCATATCGAAATAGCGCAATTACGATTTATAGAAAACACATTAAGGGAAAAATTGTGATTCATATAAGCGTTTTGGGGTAATTGGAAGGATCAGGTATTATTGTCAAATCAATTACTAACTAAATAAATTGTAATAAAATAAGCATTTATCAGATTCTGGATACATTGTCAAAGTAAGAGTATCAAGTTATAGGTAAAGCTTTTTTATCTACCACCAACTTACAGAGTAGACACTCTTAATATTCACCATACTAATTTTATTATTGAAACCCAGTTTTCATCTCTGTCATAGCCGCCTTTTGGTCTCCACTATTTCGTATATTACCGATCTCCTTGATGGTCTCCATTTACTTTCGAACATGACCCTCTCACCCATGTTGCTTTCGGTTAGTCTTGGAACTCGCTGCTCTGGTATCCATTATTTGTTCATAGAAGATAAGTTGTTTTTCTTGAATATTAACATGTGAACTTAATTTCTCGTTTCTGACTCTTTCCATTCTCAATACTCCAGTTGATCTACTTGTAGTCAATTTCCAGTTCAAGAGGTTATCCTCTAATTTTTCAGTCATTTGTGAAGGCTCGCAGTCTGCTGAACAGTGCTCTTGGGGATCACGTAATTTTTCTGATGATGATGTGTTCTGTTCCATCACCTCTATCTATACTTGCGCCGGATTGAGATTATGTCTAACAAAGTTAACGTAGATTCGAAATCTCTTCAAAAATATTGTAAATTTTGTAAACGAAGTAGTTTCGGCGCTTGGTTGCATAAACTGTAGTTACAGTTGCCACCCAAGTTGCGGAATTCAAGCGGGCCTAGTAAATTGCAAAAATAAATTTGTTTGTTGTGATTCGCGTAAAAAAAGTGAGGCTAAGTCTGGTGAAATGAATGAAAAACAAATAAAAACTCTCCTGGAGGGCATGTTTAACCAGCATCTGAACCCATTAAACACCAAGATGGAGGAGGACATGACTGAGTTGAAAAATTCAGTCCAATTCATGTCCGATAGATGGATGAAATAAGACAACTTAAATGTGAAAATGCATCCTTGAGACAAAAACTGTGCGACATGGAAGAACGATTGAACCTTCTGGAACAGCGGGACAAGGAGAAGAATTTGATTGTGACTGGTATTCCAAAGCAACCTGGAGGAGTAGAAGATAGCATGAAAAAAGTACTAACTACAATGAAAATGAACCTGAATGTAGGAGATGTGCAAGAAATATTCCGTATCAACAACAAGGATGATGCTCCCATACTGTTGAAATTACAATCAAAGGAAATACGAAGTGCAATATTGAAAAAAATCAGAGAAATTAAGGGAATAAAGTTGAACGAGTGTGGTCTGGTAGAAGGAGCAAAGAATATTTTTTTCAATGAAGATTTGACGAAGCAGAACCAATTGCTCTTCAAAAGAGCCAGAGAAATGAAGAAAGAATCGAGTTATAAGTCAGTGTTTGTTGGAAATGGAAAGATTTACTTAAAAAAAGGAGAAAACTCCAAACCTATACGAGTTAAAACTGAGGCGGATCTAAATTAGTAAGAAGCCTTAGCAAAAAAAAAAACTGTAAAATGTGTACATAAATAAAAAACTAAATTGCTGTTCAATGGCTTGTGATAATCTCAATATATTATACATTAATACAAGAAGCCTACGAAACAAACTTGATGATCTCAACAATATACTCCTTACAAGTAATAAAAAATACATATAATAGTTCTTACAGAAACTTGGATATATCCTAATGAAAAAAGTTACTTTAATATACCTTCCTACACATCTGTGCATGATTGCCGGGACTCAAGGGGCGGAGGTACATGGATATTATGTAATAAATGGGTTAAACGACGTCCTGAATATCAAAATTTCAGTATCACTTATGCCCGTATTCGCCGTTTTATTTCTTGAGCGAAGTTTTCGTAAGCCGGCTCAATGCTTGAGCTAAGCTTAAATTTCTGCGTTATGTATCGCTGAACAATACAGATCGCTCAGCTAAGCCTTAAAGAAACTTGGAAACGTCGGACTTATTGGGGATTTTTAAATATTTAGCTTGTCATTAAAGTCAAAGTTGACATTTTTTGTTTGGTGTTTTTTTTTTTTGGTTATGTTTATCTACACAATCTACTCGTCGTTCTCGATAATTCTCAACGTTTCCAAACAAAATAATTGTGCAGCAAGTAGCAAGTGATTTTTCCAATTATTAAGCAAGATGAGCTCAAAAATGAGTGAAAGAGTTCCAAACTTTACAACATCGGAGAAGCTCCACTTATTACGAATTATAGCAAATAAATATTCATCAATTTATCCTCTATTGAGGATAAAAAAACTGATAGGGCTTCTGGAGAAAAAAAGGAGAGGGCCTGGCAGCAGATCACAGATGACTTCAATGCTAGTTCATCTACGGGTATATTACGCAGTATGGCTTCTTTGAAAAAATGCTATGAAAATAGAAAAAAGGCACTTCGAAAAACATTGGCTGATGAAAAAAAGGAAGTAACGCTTACCGGTGGAGGCCCACCACCAAAAGTCAAAAAGGATGAGACCGACGAACGTTTGATGTCCATTATCAATAAAAATACATTAGTGGGCTTTCATAACAAATTTGCTGATGATGCAGATGAAAGCATTATTGTGCATAGAGACTCGCATAAAAATGATCAAATACAATTTTATATAGTAGATGAAGATGACGCAGAAATCCAGGAAAGGATACACATACTCACAAACCCAGAACAGGAGACATTTTTGGTAAGTTCATGTTAATTTTTTTGCATTTCTTTACTAGAAAAGTATCGTCTCAAAAAATATTGTCTATATTTTATAAGGTTACATACTCACAATAATAAATTTTATAAATAATAATGTATATCTCTCGAACTTTTTATTCTAGCCAATTGAAAAAATCAGTCAGTCTAGTATTGCCAATAATGATGTTGAATGGAAAAAGTACAATCCCACAAAACTACAAGAACCTATTAGTCCAGCAACTTATTCCACAACCTTGAAGAAAGATGAAACCAAAGAAAATGTAAGAATAGCTAACATCGGAACAATAAAAATAACTTACAATCTAAGATTACACTATGTACTATGTCGTGGGGATATAGGAATCTTCAGTATTCAAATCAATTTCCTTTTATATTTACAGCTGCCCGAATATGCCAAATCTACATCAACCAGCCGTAGAAGACCAACAACTGTAGTAAAAAGCTTAACATCCTCCGACGTATCCAAAAAATATGATCTACTCTTAGATAAAAGGTTGATGTTACTTCAAGGGCAGTTAAATCACATGGAACAAGAAAATGCTCTTATAATAAGAAAAAGAAAATTAGAAATCGAAGTGTTGGAAACAGAATAATTACTTTTAAAAAAGAAAAATTTAGAATAGAGTATTGTTATCAAAGAATTTGACTGTCAACTATATCACCTAATTCTTCTACCTATTGTTAAAAAATACTTGAGTACAAATATATATTGTTAGTTTCTATTCTGCCTTCATTTATTTACTTTTGATTGCTGCATTCCATTTTCTCCCAAACAAAAATCATATTGGACAATGAGTTGGAAATTATTGATATAGTACAACGTATATTGCCTACAGGCACGAAACTTGGTTTGGTTTTCTTTGCTTTTCCTAGCCATACTGATGAGACCTGATAGGTTGAAACGCGTCTATGGATGGAAAAGCATGGAAAATCAAACCAAATATTTTCTCATTATTGATATACCCCAGTCAATTTCTTCCAGTTCATTTAAGTATGCCAGATTGCATTGGATTCTCAGTGTAAAAACTACACCAAGTTATTTAATTTGAATTGAAAAAATAGTCCATTTTTCTCACAGTGGAGCTTCTTAAATATCAAGAAGTCTCCTCCACAATTCTTTATGTAAAATTCAGTTTTGTAATTTTACTACGAGTACATGTTTGGGATAGTGTATATATATCCATATTCAGCAGCTTTAAAATTAAATTAAACTAATAAGAGTTAGAGGAAACCTCAGCTAGCAATATTTCCATAGACACAAGATGTGGAATAATTCACAACATACCCTTTGCTTTATTAAACCAATGCTTTCGAATACATGAAACCTGTGATCTATGGTGAGCAGATTAAGACTCCACTTGTTTCTCTAGCCAGGATCCACTGCCTCTGGCAAGATCAACACCCCCTTTTTTCACTCAGTGAGCAGCATTTTTCCATGAAAAGTCTCAATGTGCTCACCATAGATCACAGGTTTCATACATTCGAAAGCATTGGTATAATAAAGTAAAAGGTATGTTGTGAATTATTCTACATCTTGTGTCTTTGGAAATATTGTTAGCTGAGTTTTCCTCAAACTCGTATCAGTTTAATTTAATTTTAGAGCTGAAGATGGATATACACTATCTGAAACATGTACTCGTAGTAGAATTACAAAACTGAATTTCACATAAAGAATTGTGGAAAAGACCGAGAGTTGTTTTACTTCTTGATAATATAAAATGTTTAATAATAGGTCAGTGAATTTGAATGAATTTTTTCCAAATATTTTTCGGAGATGTAATTTTTTGCAGCATTTTAAAATAAACAAAAAAAACACGTTGGTTAATTTACTTCACACAATTTTTATTACAGATTACCAAAGTAATTGTCAATAATCTCATTTCTAAAATCATACAATACATTTTCCTGTGGATTAATTGGAGGTATGTTTCCTTGTTGGATCAAATATTCTAATTCCTCCATATTAAGACCCTCTGGAGGGGGAGAATCACCATCGTGCATTACTCGAGCAATATTGTAAAGTATTGCTGTAGCTATTACAACCACTAAAGCAGTTTCAAATTTGCACCTCAATCCATTAGATAAACAGGGGAATCTTCATTTCCACACGCCAATCGTTCTTTCCACTGTATTTCTAGAACGAATATGAGATTCGTTGTAGAGTTGTTCAGCTCTTGTATTAGGATTTCCTAGTGGTGTAAGTAAGTATGATTTCAAGGAATAACCACTATCACCTACAAAAGTTTTAAAATGGCATATTATTTCTTAGGTGCTTGATAAATTAAAGTGTTTCCGTGACTTCCTTTTCACAAGGGCAAATAGATAGTACTGGCATATTTGAGGCAAAGGAAATATGGAATATTCCTGGGAATAATCATAATTAATAATTAATAATTAGATTCCCAAATATACTGATACTGGTACCTACCTAGAAGGACGCCTGTGTCAAATTCCCCTGCCTCAAACCTAGTCCGCAGCCTACTATGGTTAAAAATAGTAGCGTCATGGGCTGACCCTGGCCACCTGGATACGATATTAATTATTTTTAAGTCACTTTCACATACAACCTGCACGTTTATGGAGAAATATGATTTTCTATTTCTAAATATCTCTCCATCTTGATTAAAATCGAATGAAAGTAGTTTACAGCATACCTGGTGATTTAATTTTCACATGGGCACCATCAATACACCCAATTACACATGGAAATCAAGCTACTCTATGAAAATTGGTTTGAGTAGATATTTTCTCCTCATATATGTTGCTGGCATTTTAATAAACATATTTCTTTTAGAAGCAATGCCTTCTGAAACTTTTTTTATAACCCTAGATACAGTGCTTTGATCCATTTTCATAAAGTCACCTATGTTGATTTGATGGCCATCACTGGCATAGAATATAAGGGCAGTCAGCAGTTGATTAATTGGTGATACGCTGTTATTCCTAAAAAAATGCAATTTCTTTATTAAAATAGTGAGGAAATAACATCATTTTTGTTTTTTGTGTAAATAACTAGGCACATTATAGCTAAATTAGTTGAATTAAAAAGTTTAGGTTGAAAGGTCAAATATTTTTCTTACAAATCATTTTCGAATTCTAAAGAATCTTCTATGAGCTCCAGCTTATATAGTGTTGTCTTCTTCGTCAATCTGAATCTTCTATTAAAAGCCATATCATCCATCTCCTCAAAATAGTTGGGCCTAATATAAATCATCCGTGGAAATCCATAGTCAATTATATTTAAAATGTCGATATCGTCTTCTAGCATAATCTTATCTTCTATTTCCATCATAATGAATGTTCACAGCTTCACACTTCTACGCTTCTTCACAATTCCTCAAAATTTACTTATGTGAATGCAAAGCAAACAAATTCACTACAAATTACAATAAAAACAAACAAATAAACCCTGATTGTTGATCCTGATGTAAACAAAAAAATGAGGTTATGACTAATAAGCCTGGCTTTGAATGTAAAGCCGCCGAATTTGGCCGCTCAATTTTAAGCGAGCAGAGGCATTTGTGTTGCCGGAGCATACAAATTCAAGATGTTAAGCGAGCTTTAACCTTAAACTTCGCTTATGGGTATACGGCGAATACGGGCATTAGTGATTGTAAAATTATATCAGTTTATTTGCCACAACAGAACTTGACGATCTATGGTGTCTACAGACCACCAAAAAATAATTGCAAATTATTCACTACAGAAATAGACAAACTGTTAGAAAACCAAAAGTCCTTGCATTTTCATCGGAGACATCAATTTAGACTTGCTCAAGAGCCACAAATGATTATAACATGAGCGGTTTCAAGATTCAAAATACGATAAGCCACCAAAATGCAACACGAACAACACAAAATACTGCATCTATATTGGATCATGTGATAACGAATAAAAATATACAGTGCAGCATCAAACTACTAGATCACAAAATTATGTACCTATTCTGAAGTGAAAAAAGCTATCTACCACTATAGCAAACAGAAATTAACAAAAAAACATATAGATATCGGGTCTTCAAAAAAAAAAACAATCAAAGATTGCTATGGTTTTTTAAACGTATGTCTTAGCAATATTTTTCTTTAATTTTGTGAATGAAGAGAAAAAAGCATCAAAATAAGAAACAATAATGGGTGACAAAGGAGTATTTAATAAAATTGAAGCAAAGAGACAAGTTGTACGTGAGATAAAGACGAATACAAAATGAGTACACAAAAAATAAATACAAGGCACTAAACAATGAAGTAAACCAATTGAGAATAAGTCTACAAAAACAGTCTACAGAAAAAAAACTGCAAGAAGTACAAGGTGATGGCAGAAAGACATGGAAAATACTTAACGAACTGTGCAATAGAAACATAAAAAAAAATAAAGCGAATCAATCGCATTAAAGAACAAAATGGTGATGAATGTGTCGATGATGCAGAGATGGCCGAAGAAATGAATGACTATTTCTCAAGCATAGGGCAAATATTGGCTTCAAAAATAGACCGAAGACCTGGGTTGACATTCACAGAAGAAGAAGAACAAGAAACTATCGAAATGAAGAAACAAACATAGAAGAAATACAGAAGATAATAAGTGAAATAAAAAATAATTGTGCACCTGGTATAGACGGTATTACAAAAAAAAAAAGATATCGACACTTTTGCACATTATCGGACCAACAATTGTGAGGTTGACTAACTGTGTTTTAGAAAGTGGACAATATTCCGAAGAACTTAAAACTGCAAAGATAGTGCCAATACACAAAAAAGGTGCACATGATATGATAAGCAACTATCGCCCAATATCACCAATAAAGTACGTTTAGAAAAAATTTCGAAAAATTTTTAAAAACAAGATTCATACCGTTCATTGAAAAACATTTTAAATTTGATAAAAATCAATACGGGTTCCAAAAACACAGTAGTACACTGAGAGCAACTGTTGAACTTTTGGAACATAATAATATAACAAGTGAATTGGATAAAAACAAGTATGTGATGTGTGTTCATAGACCTGCAAAAAGCGTTTGACACGGTTGATATAGGACTAATGCTAGAAAAGCTTAAAAAAATGGGATTCCGAGGTAAATGTCATGATTTGCTGTCTTCTTAATCAATGGGTAGAAAACAGTGTACAACAGTGAATGGTCTGGTGAGCCCAAGCCTCAGTACTTGGACCCATGGAATATTTACTATATGTCCAAAACTTGAAATATGCAGGTCTTAGAGCAAAATGCGTCAAATTCTGTGATGATGCTGTATTGATTTTTTCGGGAACAAGCACAGATGAACTCGAACAACTAGCTAATACTGACTTAAAACAGTATTCTGACTAGTTATGTCAGAATAAACTCAATTTGAATGTGGAACAGACCGTGTACATGGTAATAAATCAACCAACCAAAAAAAGCATTGAACCAGTGATAAAAATTAATGACAAAACTCTAGAAAAAGTAGATGAATACAAATATTTGGGACTAGTTATAACGGAAAATTTAACATGGGCTGCACACAAAGCTGGGCAGAAAACCGTTTATACGTTATCCGTTAATTAAAGACGGTTTTACACTGACAATTTATTGATCAAAGTCGCTTGTCAAGAAATATTGATAATGTAAAACGCCAAATTGGCGGCAATTTAACTTTTTCAAGTTCTTGCTCAA